AATTTCATAAGGCTACCATAACAACAACAACAACAACAATAGAACACAAACACAGGTGGTTTAAAACAATGGAAATGTATTGTTTCATAGTTCTAGAGGCTAGAAGTCCAAAATCAAGGTGTTGGCAGGACCATGCTCTATCTGAAGGCTCTAGGGGAGGATCTTTTCTTGCTTTTTCCTAGCTCTGGCAGTTGCCAGCAATCCTTGGTGTTTCTTGGTTAACAACTGCATAACTCCAATCTCTTCGTCTGTCATTTCATGATCTTCTCCCTATATGCCTGTCTCTGTGTCTCTTCTTTTCTAAAGACTCCAGTCATATTGCATGAGGGCCCAGCCTAATGACCTTATCTTAATTTGATTACATCCGCAAAGACCCTTTTGCCAAATACGATCATATTCACAGGTATGAGGGTCAGCGCTTAAACATAGTTTTGTCAGGGACACAATTAAATCCATAACAGGAGCCTTTTCTACATTCCTCAAACCTTGACTCTGACCCCTTCCTACTGTCTCTGAACAGATGGCCTCAACTCCTACTTCACAGAGAAAATAGAAATTAGAAGCCATCAGAATGAAACTTGACTTCCCACCACTCAACCAACAAATCTGCTTTTATCATATGTGTGTATCCTTCCTTCTTATCATTTCATGAAAGAATTCCTGCTTTTCCTATTTAGAGTTAATCACTTAAGAGTTCTTCAGGGCACCTGGGTGGCTCAGTCAGTTAAACGTCTGCCTTCGGCTCAGGTCATGATCCCAGGGTCCTGGGATCGAGCCCCACATCGGGCTCCCCACTCAGCAAGAAACCTGCATCTCCCTCTCCCTCTGCCTGCCACTCCCCCCACTTGTGTGCTCTCTCTCTCTGTCAAATAAATAAATAAAATCTTTAAAAAAAAAAAGAGTTCTCCAAACCTGACATGTGTAATCTGACCTCATCAACTTCCTCTCAAAATGTGTTCCTCCTTCTGTGTTCTCTTTCATTGTGGTTCTGGAATGGCACACCTTCTACCCAGTTGCCAGAGGGAAAAAACAAACACCACAGGATTCAGCCTTGACTTTGTTTCTCCATTACTCTGTCCACCCCAACACTCCCCAAGTCCTGCCTGACAGCAAAACCGCAGCTTCCTTGGGTTTGTACACTACATGTCTATTAATGAAGCCCATACTTAATATTTGTGTTTAGGCACCCACATTATATTCAGTTGATTCAATTCAGTTCACAGCTACCTGTACTACTATCTCTTCCCCATCTGAAGTTGTGTGAAATCTCATTGTTTTACATACCATACTTGTATGGTTGGTTTCATGCATTCTGATGGACACTTTGACTTTTCCCCTTTATTTCATCTCCTTTGTTCAGCCTATTATATTATCATCCTAGCATCTTTTGGGGTCTTTATTTTCTCTTTCACTCATGCATGAAACTTGAGGACGTGGTCATTGCAAGGTAAGAGAAGTCAGGTAAAGTGCTAAGCACAGTACCTGGCACATAATAAGCCCTTGATAAACATTTACAAATGTGATTATTATTATTATCCCAACCCTCAGCACAGCATCTGAGCCATAGTAAGCCCTCAATAAATATTTATTGATTAACAAATGAATGGATGATGGAATGAATAAATATCCCCTCTCCCAAATCCCAGGCCCATTAAATTTGACATTATTATCCCTCTTTTACAGACAGAGAAACCAAGGCTTAGAGAGTTTCAGCTGGAAAGTGGTGGAACCAGAACTGGAATCCAGATCTGCCTGACTCCCCAGCATATGTGACTCACCCTTCCTTACTCAGCTTCCTTACATGTATACACAGATTTAAAAAACTAGCTGTGGGGTCAGAGTGAAGTCTGAGAGGTTTTCCAAGGTCGTGTGTCCAAACTCTAGAAAAGCAGAGTCTCCCGCGTATGGCCCTGGGACACAGGAATGTGGAAGGGGCTAAGAGATGACATCAGAGCACTAGGAGCCTCACCTCTTTCCACCCCTATGGGCCTCTCATCTTCCCTGCCCTAACCTATATGCTTAGCTATTTCTCCCCAGAAACGAACATACTGTGTGTCCCCAAGGAGAAACTTTTAAGAGCGGGAAGGCAAGGCCTAGGAAGGTAATTTGACTCCTCACCAGGACCAGTCAGTGGCATGGGGAGCCCAAAAAAGTAGGAAGCATGGTACAAAGAATGTAAGACCTGCAGGAGACCTGCATTACTTCTCTGGACGTCAGCTTCCTCATCTATAAAAATGGGGGTGGGGTGGGGTAATAGTCCTTTGCCCTGCCTGCTTCACAGGACTGTTGGAGACACAATAATGATAACCACTAATATTTACTGAGTGCCACCGCTGTGCTGGCCATTGTGTTGAGTGTCTTTCGTATCCGCAGTTAGCCCTATGAAATAGGCATATTGTCTACCCCTCCCCCCTCCTTATTTCCATCTCCCCACCCCAACAAATGAGGAAACCAAGGTTCATGGAATTAAGTTACTTGCCCAAGGCCTCTAACTCTAAGTGACAGATCTGAAATTTGAAACTGGGTTGCCTTTTGAGCCCTTCAGAGCTGTGAGCATGTTTGTGAACCTCAGCGGAGAGCCCGTTTGTGAACCCCGAAGAATGATACACGCCTTGTGCCCTCTGGCACACAAGTGTTCCCTACAAGTCCGCATCTTGTTTCGATTGGGACTGGAGGTGGATGCCCAGTAGAGATCGTTGTCCAAGGAGGCAGCTGACCGGATGGTTAGGACAGAAGGGCTGTTTCCCACACTGATCTGATTGGATCCCCATGGTCTGGAGAGGAAAGGGGGGAGGGCACGAAGTCTGAGTGGCTCTTTTGTGAAAGCAAGTTCTAGGGCAGGTTGAGGTGGGAGAGGAAGCCCCTAGGTACCAAGCCAGACCACAACAGTCAATGCAGTGCCCAGGCCTGCAGCAGGAAGAGCACGGGGGCTGAGATGACAGGAAGCCCTCTGACAGGGCTCAGGCAGGGTGCCACTCCAGGCTGTCAGACTTTCCAAGAAAGGAGGGACGCACGGCCCAGAAAATCAGTGCGTGTAGGAGTCAGCCCCACCTGTGACCTCTTCATCCTCTGCCTCTCTCTCTCTTCCCCCTCAGTTTCCAGCCCCCCTGCTTCTCCACTGCTCTCCCTGTGTCCACAGGCCCTTGGGTGGCTTCCCCAGCACTGCCTCCAGGCCCGCTCTCCCCTCTCACACCAGAACTCTGTCTGCTGTGGCAGCTCCTTTGTTTACTGTCAGAGCTCACAGGCCTGCCACCGGCCAAACACAACGGAGCCTGGCCAGGGAGGGTTAGGCTCCAGGTGCAGACTGGCCCCTCAGGGACAGGTAATGGCCTCCAAACCAGGAAGGCAGCTCAAAGGTAGGCTGCCCCCCGCGCTGGGCTCTTGTTTCAGGTCCTGACAACCCAGGTTTCAGGCCTAGAGGAAAGGGACACAGACCTGCCCATAGCTGGGCAGGCATCCCTACTGTTGAAACAGCTTTGGCTAGGAGCCCTGGGAATCAAAGACCCAGCTGGAAAGAGGTGGGGAAAATGTTGAGGCCCCCTGGGTGGGAAGCAGAGGCCTAGACTCCCTTCCCCTGGTCCTCCCTCTCTTCAGCCAGGCAGAGTCTGGTCCTGAGCCCTTAGAATGAAGACTTGCACGCCCATATTTCCCTACCAGAGGGCTCTGTTCCCCTTCCAAGTGTTAGTGCCTCATGCCCCCCCTAAGGATTCTAGTGGATAAAGGGAAGTGGGCGTCTACTCTGGGCCAAGTCCCAACAGGAACCATCGTCAGGATGTGTCTGGCATTGGTCTGTCCAAGGCTATTGGGGAGGTGACTTATCTAAATACATATGTAGTTATGTATTTGCATAGTGTATAATGTAAAGGGGAGGGACTCCAACTCTGTTTCTGGAGCTGGGGTGAGGGGTAGGAGGTGATGGATGAGGAGGGAGGACTGGTAAAAGTGCCAGACTGGAGGGTAGCAGGGCCACAGACAAGATCATTCAAGGAACAGTGGTCAGTGGCAAAAAGAAGATGCCCCAACAGGGGAGGAGGAGGTCCCTGGCAGACCAGGCTCCCCACTGAAAGGCCCTCTAAATGGTGGCCAGTTGATTCTGTGAGTATGTGGGGGGGGTGCAAATAGGTGAAAGAAATGGGGATGATTTTAGAGGAAATGAAATTCCCAATGTCCCTCCCATGTAAGGATCCATTTTGGAGGCAACAAGCTTGACTAAGGAATGTCAAGTCTGTTGCCAGGCCCCAGAGGAGCAGAGAGAGCTCCAGACCAACTGGCCTTTGGAAGGAACGGGAATGGGGTTAGAGGTAGCATTGGCCCTCCTCAGCCTGTACTCTCCCGTTTTGCTTCAGGCAACCCACCTCCCTTCCCTGGGCCAGTCATTCTTTGAGGGGTCACTGGGTCCCCTGGAGTAAACAAGAAATTTGCCACAGTTTTAGTAACAGTTTTGCTTTTTATCTCATCAACGTACATTTTCATCTAACAGTCTAACAGCCTCACACTCCTCACCCCGGCCCAAGCCCTCACCCCCTCCAGCCCACCCCTGCCCAATCAGCATCTCATCTGCCCCAGGGGCAGGAAGCCAGGTACAGTGGTGATTCAAGGAGAGGGCAGCACCTGTGGGCTCTCCCAAGGGGAGCCCTCCCTGGAGAGTCCAGAAGCCAAAAAGGCCCAGGTAAGGAGAGGTTGAGGGCTGAGTCTCATTGGAAAGCAAGGTCTCCTGGGTCTCAGTCCCATTCAGTCTGTCTGCCTGGGTCTGTCCCTGCCAGTCAGAGCAGCAGCAGGGCAGAAATCCTCAGACAAGGGGACTTGTGGATAGAAAGGAACCTTGAGCCCAGTCCCACTCAGAGAGTAAGAGCAAGGCTGTTGCAACCCCCTTTCATGCAGGCCGGGTAGATGCTCCTGGGTGCTGCCTCCCAGCCTCTCTGATTCCAGGAGTGCAGGGACAGGCACTTGTGATCAGCATCCTGGGACGTGCCACCAGGGAAGACAGAGGGCCAGTGCTGCTACCTGCAGCCACAAGACTCCACGACCATGTCCTCATACTGCTTATAGACCACGTTGTTGGCGGAGTCAATGAAGAGGATGCTGATGGGACTCAGTCGTGTGGGCACACAGCAGGTTGGCGGTGTGGACTCAGGGTCCATGGAGTTCATCAGGGTCTGGATGACTGCATGGTTCGTGGGCTCCAGGTGGGAGCGCAAGGGGAACTCACATAGCCCCTCACAGTGGAAGGCCTCGTACTCAAGGGGTGCGATGATCCAGTCATCCCAGCCCATGTCCTTGAAGTTGACATGCAGCGCCTTCCGACTGCAGCGGGCCTTGGGGTTCTTGCTGGGCCGTTTGCCCTGGCGCGTGGCCAATGGTGCTCGCCTTTTTCGCCGCTGGCTGAACAGGTACTCATACACCGTCTTATCATCTTGACCCGAGCGGGCCTTAATCTCATTAAAGAACAGGTCCCGTTTCTTGGTGCGGCCAAATACCAGGAACAGGGCCTTCTCATGGACCTGCCTGGCCGCCCGGTCAAAGCCCAGGCCACGGAGGTCCACGGCCCGGCCCCGTTCCCAGGCCTCCAGCTCCAGGCACAGCTGGGCCGAGTTCTTAAAGTTTCGGAAGAGCTTCCAGATGTCGAACACCTCCCAGCCAGATCCGTCCAGGCCTGGCACGGAGCGCACATCCAGCAAGGCTGCCGGCTGCCGGCCGCTGGGGCAGCTGGACAGCTTCAGCTGGGCAGCCCGCCCGATGCCGGGGGCCACTGGCTTGGCCGCGTCCGAGGGCTTCTTCCGCAAGATCCGCAGCTCGGCCCCTAGCAGCCCATCCTTCTCCAAGGCACTAATGTCAAACACGTACCTCTGCTTTCTGACCACAGGACCTCGGTCATCTAGAGAGAACACCCAGAAGTCATTCCCTGCAACCTCACCAAGAGAGCCAGCCACCTCAGGGCCTCAGGGGAGGGCTATAGCTCTCTCCCCTCTGGAGACAGCTTTCTTTAACCTCTCCCCTACTCTGACAGAGGCCAAGACCCAAACCACTGAGAGCCCTTTTCAAAATAAGGGAGCTTCCCAAACAGCAGACCAAGTAGGGTTGTTTTTCCGTAGATGTGGCTGCGGTGATTTGAACGATTCCGGGTGTTTGTGTCAATGACAATGCATATCAGAGATGCATCAGCCTTAGAAGTGCCTCTTGCTATCCCTCCCCATCTATTATCTCATATGATATCTTCGTTGGAGAGATAGGTGGAGTGGGTATTATAATTAGCTCTATTTTTTCCAGAGGAGGAATCTGAGGCTCAGAGGAGTTAGGTGACTTGCCCCAGATCACCCAGCTAGGAAAAAGCAGAGGTGGAACTCCAGTGTAGAACATCTTATACGCAATCCTGAGCTGCTCCCACTCCACCTTAAGGAAGATCTTGGTGCTCCCATTCTGCGGATGAGGCCCAGAGAGGGCAAGTGACTTGCGTAAGTTCACACAGATAGTTAACGATAAGGCTACAGTCCAATTTCCCTGGCTTCCCAGTCTGATGATTTTGTTGTGTACATGTCTTATCCTGCTGCGTGTATGAGCGTGTGTGTGTGTGTGTGTGCGCATATATGTGAATAACGGGCTTATATGTGAATAAGAAAGGTAAAGTAGAACGAGTGACGTGCGTGTATGATTGCGCTCGTGTGAATATTTGAGCGATACGTATATGTGTGTGTGCATGCAAGACAATTCTGTGTGGACACGTAAGAGGGTGTGTGTTCACATGCGTACATGTGTGTTTGATTCAGCATGTGTGTATAAATATAAGGCTGTGCGTGTATGAGAAACTCTGTAGTGTGTCCAAATCAGCATACCCTCCTTCCTAAATATCAATTTGCCATTGGGAAGCTTTCATACATTGCTCTAGAAGGTGACTAATTAGGCCTTTAAACTCCCCATCTCCCCCTCTGCAAGCTCCCTTAGAGCTGGGGGGCACAAGGACTTATTTTATGAGCCCCCAAGGGGTCACAGCTTTCCCTGGCTGGGCAGGCAGCCAGGCCACCTCCCCCACCCCAGCCAGACCTGCTGCCTCCTGGTTCCTCCCACCGTGTCATTCCCCCACGGGCCAGCTCTAATGAGGAGCCTCTCCCCATCTCCGCCCCCTCCCCCACCCTGCCAGCCAAAGTCCCAAGCCTCACAGAACCAGAGTGTAAGAGCTGCAGGCAACCCTGGCAATGAGTAATCCATCTCCCTCTTCACACTTACAGAGAAACTGAGGCCCTGAGAGGGGAAGGGACTTGCTGAGATCACACAGCAAGTGGGGAGGGAAAAGTCGAAACAGTAGCGCTAGGTGAGCATAGGGTGAGGTGAGGGGAACGGCCTCCCTCCCTCCCAGGTTGACGATAAAGATGATCTGTGTTTAGGACAGGACATAAAGTGTTCATTTTTGAAGGACTCTCAGAAATCCCCCGGCCCAACCCCTATAGAGTTGTGCAGATGGGGAAACTGAGACCCCACAGGGAAAAAGGACTCTCTCAAGGTCGCATTGTGAGTTAGTCCCGTTGTCTGAGGATTTCTGCCCTGCTGCTGCTAAGTCTGCCATCCCCCAACCCCCCACCCCCACACCATACTTTTAAATGTCACTCCACAACTTCAAGATGCCCCATTTACTGTCTTCACCCATCCTGCCTCCTCTGGCCCTAGCCTGAAGGCAAATTTGCAGAACCACGGAAATCTAGAGATTAATTTCTCTCTCTGCCATCTGAGAAAACCTACAAACCTCTGGAGCCTGGAAAGTCTGGCCAACCCACCTCAGAACAGAGCATGGCCTGGTAAGAGTCTTAAAGTATGGTCCCCAACTCTGCCACCAACTGGCAGGTCTTGTCTCCTCTCCGGGCTTCAGTAACCCCCTCTGCACCTTGCAGGAATTGGCTCTGACATGCCAGCAGCCTGGGACCGGGAACGTGGGAGGTAAGTCCCAGATACCACCCCAGGCCGATGCACACACTATCTCCCACCTGTGCAGCGTCGGGGCTCTGAAAGGCCCCTCCGCACATGCAGATGCCCCTCCCTCTCAGCCGTGCCCCTGCCACCCCACCCCCTCACCTTGCCCTTTGTCAATAAAGCTGGTGATGGTGTTGGCCAGGCCAGCCTCCAACTTCACGCTGCTGTTGCCTCCCTTTCTGTCAGCATCGGACAGCGTCCTGTACAGCGAGAGCATGTACTCGTGGGGCGTGATGGGGGGCGGGCGGAACGGCTCCTTGGGCTCTTGAGGGGGCCCAGTCTCCCTGGCCTTCTTCAGCAGGAAGGGGCTGGGGACAGATCCTGCCTTTGGAGGTGCCTTACCCCCAGGAAGCTGTCCTTTTGGGGTCACCGTCCGCGTTGCCGCCTGCCTTGTCTGGGAAGGGTGTCCTGGCTTGGGTTCAGGGCCACCCAATCTGGGGGGCAGCTTTTTGGGTTCATCCTTCTTGGGCTGTGTCAGGCCTCCTGTCTGCCCGGTGCCCCCCTTTGCCCTGGCACTGGCGGCCCCCCCCACCATAGCTGTGACCCCCCGGCCTAAAGATGCTCCGGGCCAGAGGGGGCCTCTCCTTGGCTTCTGCTTTGGCCAAGCCTGGCCTGGCCCCCTGGGGTCTCTGGCCCAAGTCAGGGGCACCCAACACAGTGCAGATGAATTCCAGGTCCAGCCAAGCCAGGTGCCAAAGCAAGAAAGTGAGGAGTTTGGGGAGTCTCATCCTCTGGCCAGCCGCTGAATGACACCAGAGAGAAGGGCGGCAGCAGCGAAGGTGCCTCTGGTTTGGCAGGAAAAACCATGAACCGAGTGGACCCTCAAAAGCAGCGGCAGCAGCAGGAGCAGCAGAAGGAAAGGCTTTCTCCTCAGTCTGAGACTCTTTAAGTCTGCCGGGTGTGTGTTTGTATCCAGTCCCATAGTGGAAATGCTCTCGTATCCAGACGTGCACCGTCTCTAGTCAGCAGCTGAAAATAACTCGTTCTTGAAAGGAGAAAGCCGACCGCCCCCTTTCTCCTGCACAACTGACTGAGGGCTTGAAGGAGGCTTGTATAAGGCTGAGGGATTTTTCCAAGAAGGAAGAATGGCGTAATGCTGCCTGTGTGCTCCAGTTTTTTTTTTTTTTTTAAGTTTTGAATCCTTTCCAGTGAAAATACTTCACACACACACACACACACACACACACACACACACGCCTGCAGGTGCTCAGAAAAATCTTTTACAAACCTGAACTCAGGAATTGGAAACGGAATTCCAACCCAAACCAATTTAATTACTCTCTGATGTCATGCTGTCTAAACTCATTTAAGTGCGATATATTTATGTGAAAAAAATCACCGCTGCCCTTTCGAGGCCATGGCTCACGGGGGCTCTTGGCACAGAGCCCCGCAGCAGGGCTCTGGGCTTAGGGGGCCTCTCAGTCCGTGGAGCAGACTCAGGGGTCTTCACCTCCACCTCCAGGGGCAGCCCACCCCACCTTCCTGAGGAGAGATACTGAGGAATGAGCTCAAGATCTTAAGCCCCAGAAGCATGGGGAGTGTGGGTTTTCAGTTAAGTCCTTGGGGTGTTTTAAAGCAGTTTCAACTCCTTCGTCTAGTCTGGGGCCTGATTTGTTGTTGGGGGTGGTGGCAGAACAGATGGCAGCATTTACCCACAGTTGCTTTTATTTTAATAAACTTGTGGTGACCCAGAGACAGAAAAATATCTGTACCCACTACACCCCTCCCCCCAACTGCCATTGACGGAGCTCAGATGATTTCTTCAGGCTTCAGGGGGCACTGTCACACCCGAGCCCACTCCTTCAATGGAGGCAGGTCCAGGGTGTACCTCACTACTACCCCAGCAAAGACAGACTCCCGAGTTTTGTTGGGAAGGACTGGCTGAGTCCGGAGGTGGCAGCCTCAGCCTGGGGCAGCAGCGGCCCCTGCAGGAGGCTGGAAAAATGATTTCCCCCTGGATGTTTTTCTGGTAGCTCTGGAAGAAGTCTGAATTTCAGCCGAACTCAGGGGGAAAGCTGTTCCCTTCACCTGAAACATCAACTCCCACAACTGGAGGAATCCCGCCCCATCCTGAGAGCTTCAGCTGAAAACTCACCTCCTCTGGGAAGCCTTCCCTCATCCCCAGACAGAACCAACTACCCCCTCTTGTACCTGTTGCCGTTAACACTTGTCACACTGTAAGAAGCAGTGTAGAAGGAGTAATCAGGAACGCTTCCTTGTTAATCTGAGATCCTTTGAGCCTGCTTAATGGAGATCTGTTCTCACTCTAAGGTCACCAGATTGGTTTCCCAGCATGACCTGGCACAGAGTAGAAGCTCAGCGAGTGTGTGATGAATGAAAGATGAAACCGGGCTGGGGTGTCCAGGTGCCTGACCAGGCTTTTCATGGTGATGCTCCCGGATCCTCGCTGATCTTCGGAGCACAACAGCATAACTTGGCCATTTCAAACTTCTGTGGTACTCCTGGGCCAGAATACCCCATAGGGCCCCACCTCCCCATCTCAAAGGACCAAGGCACCATCAGGCACTCTTTGGGGGAGCTTTAAGAAAGAGCTGAATTCATTACTATCCCCCCCCCAGTTGCCCAGATTCACAATACTTGGCTTCCCTTTGACTTGTCCACACTGAAGCAGTCATCTCTGACATTCCTGCCTCTTCTCCATCCCCCACTGCCTCACCATCTAGGTCCTCACCACCTGTCCTACTATAATTACCTGGTAACTGGCTTCTAGGAGTCCAGGATCTCTCTGTTCCAATGCTCCCCTCTCTAAAACCTACCTACTGAAAAGTGCCAGCTCATGTGCCCTCTCTTCCACGAAGCCTTCCCCCATCCACCAGAAAATATGCACTCCTGAATTGCCATCATACATCTTCTGTGCTCCTTCCCGCTTTGGCAGCTCAGAGTTTACCCAGTTCTGCCTCTGCCCCCTGTTTTGAACACAGTTCATCTCTTCTACTCTGTGTATGTACTTTTTTTCATGTTTTTAAAATCATAACTTAATCCCTAACAACTGCGATAATTTATTTAAATTTCTGTCTCCCCCATTAGATGATGACGAGACTGTACCATATTTATCTCTCACTTATTCCCAGTGCTGGGCACAGGGTCCAGCACATAGCAGATTCTCAGTGTGTGTGATATGGATGAATAACTCTCTAACTGGACCTTATATACAAAAGCCATAATTTTCTACTTCAAAGTGTAATTACTTATGGACCTATCATGACTTCCCTGCTGGACTCTTGAGTTCCTTAAAAGAAGGGATTCTGTCTGGCCGCTTATCAGGCACTTTGTAAGCTTGGTTGGGTGAATAATTGAAGGGATGAAACAATCAAACAATGAAGATGTCCCAGCACATGGTTTGATAAGGAGTAAGGGCCCCTGGAGGCAAATTGGTTTGGCACCTGGGTTCTGCTAGATGCTTTAGTGCATTGCGTGATTTTTAGAAGCCTCCAAACCTCTCTGAGACTCTGAACAAGGATCATGACAGTCCTTACATCATAGGGTGTTTGTGGGGATTCAATTAAATGAATCATAAAAGGTGTTAGCCTAGGGCGCCTGGGTGGCTCAGTTGGTTAAGCGACTGCCTTCGGCTCAGGTCATGATCCTGGAGTCCCGGGATCGAGTCCCACATCGGGCTCCCTGCTTGGTAGGGAGTCTGCTTCTCCCTCTGACCCTCTTCCCTCTCGTGCTCTCTCTATCTCTCATTCTCTCTCTCTCTCTCTCTCAAGTAAATAAATAAAATCTTTAAAAAAAAAAAAAAGGTGTTAGCCTAGCACCTGACAAATATTCATAATAGATACTATTTATTCAGCAGGTAGTCAAATAAACTAGACTCTAGCCCTTGTAGTCCACCGTACTTTTTACTTTATTTATCTTCACAATAATCCCATGATGACAGTGCTCCTAATATCTGCACTTCGCAGATGAAGAAATAGAAGTTCAGAAAGGTTAAATTACTTTTTAAGCTGAATTCCTGCTTTGACACATTTTGTGCCAAAGAATCCTAACCTGGCCTGTAGAAACACAAGAAGAAGTAAAAGGGTGGTGGGGGTGATTCTGGTATTCTTGGCTTTCAGTCAAGGTCTCATCCAATGTCCTGGGACTTCGGGGTGACAGGGAGGAGTCTCAGAGCAAGGACTATTGTTTGGGGATCAAGGAACTCCAGAAATGGGATGAGAGCAGGGAAAGGGGACTCTGAGCTTGCTGAGAAGGCCCTCTCCAGGGAGGAGCCCAGGGGACCGACCTGGCTCTCACTATAAAGGTGACTAATCACTTCAGTCCCCTCTGGTAATTGCAACCAGATGCTGCCGCTGGCAATGCTGCAGTCCCAACATGTTTAATTACTGGGACGCAGAGTCCCTTGGTCCCCCATGTCCCCCCACATCCCCCACCCCTGTCAGCAATATTAATGTCAAACTCGAGGTAGAGGATGGGAGCCTTGGGAAGCCACCGTCATGGAAACAATCTTCACAGTCCCTTCTGCCACGCAGAGCCTTTAACTTCTATATGTTTCCCCGTCCACTATCTCATTGGCAGGCCACAAAACATCCTCTTCAAGTTGGTGGGCCAGAGTATTATTATTACCCCCATTTCGCAGATGGGCAAACAGTGAACTGAGTAATCATCATAATAATCCTTAGCTTTTTTCAGGCACTTAGCAGTTCTCACAGTGGTTTCACATCCATGATGCTATCGGAACCTCCTGGGATCTCTCAGAGCCGGTCCAGCACACCACAGTGACTAACAGCAGAGCCTCCAGCCTCAGCTTATGTCCCGCCTGGGCCTCTAACCAATTGGGTGCCTGTGGATATTCATTCATTTATGTACTTCATTATTCAGCAGCTATATATTGGGTGCCTACCATTGTGATGGGTCCCACACCTAAGCACTGGGTATCTAGCAGACAACCAAGTCTGTCCTCGCATCCTGGTGAAAGAGACAGACAAACCAGCAAAGAAATGCACAATTTCAGAGAATTCTAGATGCTGTGAAGAAAAATTAAGTAGGGTCAAAGGAATGTCTGTTTTAGATAGGAATGTCTCTTTGAAGGAGTGAAGTTTGAGCAGAGATCTGGATGTAGTGAAGGAATGAGCCATGCAAAGGTCTGGAGAATGATCATTCCAGGTGGAAGGAAGGGCAAATGCAAATGCCCTGAGGCAGGAATGTGCTCCCCGTATCTACGAACCAAGAGAAGTTGGTATGGCTGAAGCAGAGTGAGCAAGAGGGAGAGTGATAGGAGATGAGGTCCGATCATGCCAGGACCACTTCAAGTATGACCTTGCAAGCCAGAGAAAGGACGTTAGGTTTTATCTTTAGTGTGGTGGGAAACCCAGTGGAGAGTTTTGAGAAGGAAAGTCTGATTTGTAACATGATTAAGAGCCAGCCTACCTACTTTTAATTCCTGGCTCCCCAATTCACCACCTGTGTAACCTTAGGCTAATTTAATCTCTCTGGGCCTCAGTTTCCTCTTATATAAAATGAGAAGAATAATAATATACCTACCTCATGGAATTGTTATCAATTGTTGTTGTAAATTCTTAGAACAGTGTCTCATGCATAGTAAGCAGTATGTAAATGTTACCTATCATCTATATTTTTTTAATTTTTTTAAAAAGATTATTTATTTATTTATTTATGAGAGAGAGAGAGAGAGAGAGAGAGAGAGCACAAGCAAGGGGGAGGAGATGAGAGAGAAGGAGAAGCAGACTCCCCGCTAAGCAGAGAA